GGGATTGGATTGTATGTATACAGAACAAGTTTACCTTGCCAATGCAATTATTGACACTTAAGTGCAATATAATATATTACAGCAATAGGACAACATAAAGACAGTATTACAGTAAAACATCAAAATACAATCATATTAATATTGTAATCACTGAACTACTGAGTTTAAATATTATAAAACAATGATGCTGTACCATATTGTGTAGAGGCAGCAGGGGACAGTATTGGACCAATACAAGGCTCCATTGACTGCCATTATAATTTATTAAATATTAATATTTCAAAAACTATAAGTTTTACAGGCACCAAAAAGCAAAGGCATCATTTGGCACAGGAGCTTTACAGCTATAAATTACAATGGCAGCTCTAGGACAAAGTATGCGGGAGGAGAAGCATGGCAAAGTTGAGATGACTTGGATGGGAAACGAATCACAATAGTGTGCATTGCATTGGCAATGCACACTGATAAGATGTCATATTGTTGTACAAAGATATGTTTACAGGTCACAGCTCAAACGAAAGAGCAAAAATAAGTCCAGGAAGAAAAAAAGCAAAATAACTAAGCAGCCTCAGCCCCTATCAATAGTTGTGCAATAGTCAGTCTTCAACCAAATCTGTCTTCAACCAAATCGTTCAAGTGACCGAGTTTCCCTCTGCTCTACAAACCTGACCTAATTTAAATTTTGACGCATGTGACTTTGGATTTCCTTTTTTTCCTCTGACATGACTCATCCTCTTTCAATAAAACAAGCTTCAGCTAGATGTTTTTAATCAAAAGCTGCCGTGAGAGAATAAGAATTGCGCCACAGTGGGATCGTGCTGATACATGACTGTCAGCTGTGTCCCATGAAGTCACCCTGTGTTGCAGTCCTGTCGTCGACGCCTCCAGCAGAAGAACTGATTTATGGTGCTGGATTTGACATGTTGACTGTTATCTCTTCACGACAGCAGTAGACGGATGTGCCCTACAGTGACGAAGCTGAATTATGCAGGAATTGTTTTTTTTCCCAAAAAGGAAACACAATATTGTTTAATAGAAAGAGAATGACCAACAAGTCCTTTTTCAAACGGACTGATGACCTCCAATCAGTGATTCGTTTTAAGATTAAAACAAGTTGGGACAAGTTTCCATTCAGCCTTTCAACAAAGCAAGTTTTTTTAAACCACACTGGGGTGTTTGGGAGACAAATTGCACTGCAACCAATAACACGTGCAAATACACGAAATATAAGCAAATTATGGAAATGACAATCAGTCTGACAAATCCAGAACAACAGCATTGCTGCACAAAGTCACGATAATTATAATTGAAAATGCACTAAATAAATTTGGAGGACCAAAAGTGACATAAATAGCATGCATAAATAAATAAATAAATAAATAAATAAATAAATAAATAAATAAATAAATAAATAGAGTTCAGTGAAATCATCATTCTATCAGACAAATTTTCCGTTGATATTGATCACCTTGATTGCGACATATATTGTTCCTTATTCATTGCTCAGCCCAGATAAAAAGTCAGGAAAATCTACCACATCTGAATCATGCACAAAAGCAGCTAATGCTCAGTTACTACAGCAACAAATTTTAGCTCAATGTTTCTAAAACTGGATGATATAGACATTTTTTTTGTAAGTTTGATTAACTGTGACGGCCATCTTGATTTGGACTGATTTCCAAAGATATTTAGCTGAAGTTGTTCATCCAATGATTACTTTCTGAGAGTTTCACTAAAATCTGTTCACTGGTTCATGACATATTTTGGTAGCAGATAAACACACACTTAGGCAATTACATGATCGTTCCACAGGTGTTCATGGTGTTTATATAAACCCAGAGTTTTGCAGCCAAATTCACATTTCATGGTTTTAAAATTTGACATTATATGAATAATTTGGATCAAATGATTGTTTTTGAAAGTGGTTCTTTTTCTATTTTGTTTTTGTTTTCCTGTAAATCTTGTAAAATTGTGTTTCAGGAYGTAACACCTCTGCAGGTATGTGTAGCTGACAGCCTCATGTCAGCTGCAAAACAAAGAAAGCTTGCTGTGAGGAAAAGCTGGGACTTCACTCTACAGAAGCTCCTTAAAAATAACCTCCAGCATTTTTTTTGGGATGAAAAATGACTTGTGTGAAATCCGTCTGCCTCCTGTGCTGTCAGTCCACAGGCACAAACCAGCTCTAACTTGCCTCAACCTCCTAAATCTCAGACAAAGCTCCACTGTTTTAAGCACAGTTTCAAGGTGATGTTGATGAGAAGTGTTTACTGACACTAGGTTATATGGAACATAAAGCTCAAACTTTTAACCATAAAGGAACCCTGTAATTATTTAATTAACTTAAAAGTTCTGCTTTATGAGGTTGGAATTTGTCCAAAGTCCTTAAAGTTTTGCTATCATTCTTAAGTTATGTGAGTAGGTTAGTTTTTAACCTCAGTAACATGAAACCTTGGGTTGTATGACTAAATTAAGACATACCAGAATATTTAAAATGACCCAGAGGCAGAGCAGTCTTCCAAAAAATGAACTTTTTTTCTGTTTAACTGAAACAGACATGTAGTCGCCAAGAAAAATTGAAGCAGTGAAACTGAAGGTTTTTGTCAACTTGAAGAAAAGATAAATGGGAATAAGAGATGAATGGGAAAATATTACAAAATAAAAAAGTATTAATGTAAAGATTACAAACGGCAGAATGAGTACAGTAAATAAATACATCTAGAACACTTTAACAGCTTTTAAAATTGTTGTTCATTCATTATTTATTAATATTCAATATATTTGATATTGCTGGGTTGCAGTCACCTGACCTGGATGACGCATGAATGTCAGATGGGGGCAGGAAGTGATTTGCTCT